CAACAAAGCTGCTGAAAAGAGAGGCAGTGGAAACTCAACAATAATGGGAGCAAACATTGTTGAGGATACTTCTCAAAATAATAGAAAGAGGAAGAAGGCTNGGGGAGGGAATTGATAGGGATAAATACATTTTAAGTGAGTGAGAATCATAAAGAGATGTCTTTTAAGTGAGAGAGAATCTCAAGAGAGAGATTTTAGAATATGAAAAGTTGTACATAATAAAATAAATTGTACTAAAAGAATTTTTGTGAAAGTAATTGTAGGGAATTTAAATAAGTCTTTAAAAGTTGTATTCTATGTAAATTCCTCTCCTTTTTTTAAACGATATAGTTGACATGGTTTCGAACACAATTATTAACATAAATCTATTTTGCCAAAACATTAGGTGAAAGCACAAAGTTAGTTCAAACTTTTGGGATACTGGACTTGAGCACTATTGCAATATAATTTTCGCTTTCTCGTAATTGTTTGAAAAAACTAGCTAGAGTTTTCTAAGGCCCCGTTTGGCCATATATTTTGGCACTATTTTTTCAAATCTTTTTTGAAAACATTGTTTGTTCATAGATTAATGATTTATTTTTGAAAAATTTCTGAAATTATTTTTCAAGTTCTCAAAATCTAGTTTAGGGTAGATTTTGGGTGAAACTTGTTCTCCCACTCACAAAACTTCAAATTTTTTTCAAATAAAATGCATGTCCAAACATAATTTCAACTTCCAAAAATTATTTTTCAAAACTACTTCAAAAATTATTTTTTCAAGTTTCAACTAAATCTATGTCCAAACGTTAGCTAAATATTGTTCGAGAAAGTTGTGCTTTTGGATTAGGTGGTGAGAAAATGTTCTTGGAAAACATTACTGTTAGTTTTGGTAAAGACCTACCTTTAAATCCTTTTCAGTTTCTGAAGACATTTTGCTCTGACTTCCAAAAATGAAAATCTGTCTTTAGGATCAGATAGTGGTGCTTTTGGTTTTGAAAAAGAAAAATCTAATAAACTTTTCTATAAAATGACAAAAAGGAGAATTCTTTTTCCACATAAAGATGATTAATTTATTGCTATTTTCAAGACTTAACGAGGAAGACTGGTAAGATATAAAGGTCCCAAACTAAATCGCAGTCACTATGTTTCAATTTAGATGATGTAAATTAATATGTAATAATATTTAATGAATTTTTTTTTTGAAAAATATGGTCCTAAAAGTTTAATAGGCAAAAGCTTTGTGGGATCATAATATTTATGTGACTATAAAAACTTCTCATTAAGAGTAAAGTGGATAAAATGAAGGGTTTAAGTTATATTATTTTCTAAATATGAAAATGTGTTATTCTTTTTGGAACGAACTAATAAGAAAAATATGTCATTTAAATTGAAATAGATGGAGTACTTGTTTTACAATAGTTAACATGAAAAGGAAATGTCCAATATTGAATTTCTAACACTTTATCTAAGAAATTAAGGGTGTGTTTGGTACGAAGGAAAATATTTTTCGGAAAATATTTTTCAATTTTCTCATGTTTGGTTGGCTTAAATATTTTGAAAAACATTTTCCTTGTGAACTCATTTTCCTCCAATTGAAGGAAAATGTTTTCTTTATCAAGAGAAGGGAAAACATTTTCCAAAACTTCTTCTCAACCTTCCCTACCCTCGCCAAACCCACCCCACCCCCCTCTCCAAAATAAGGCTTTTTTTTTTAAATTTCAGTTTTTCCGTTACCACCCACCCTACTACCCCTCCACCCCATCCTACACCCTAACCCCCCCTCCCGCAAAAAAAATTATTTGTTTTTACCTTATTTTTTTATTGCAATTTTAAATTTTTGTTTTTTCGTTTTTTTGCACCACTCACCCCACTCCCCCAACTGCAACCCCCCCCCCTCCCCGTAAAAAAAATAATTTTTTAATATATTTTTCAGTTTTAGTTTTTTTATTTATCGGTTTAAAGGTTCAAAATTTAACAAGTTCCAAAGTTATGAGTTCGGAGGTTTATGTGTGTGGAAGTTTACGGGTTTTGAAATTATAAAGTTTATGGGTTAGAAATTTTGCGGTTTCGAAAGTTTATGAAAAATGTGGGTTCGGAAGGTTGTTGGTTTGAAAGTTTACGGCTTTATGATTATTATATCTAAATTATTTATGAATACTCTTGAGAAGTCATTTTCCTTAATTTGTGTACCAAATATCGAAAAATGAATAAGATTACTACTTATTTTCCAAGAAAATATTTTCTTGAAAAATATTTTCCACGGAAAATATTTTCCGTTATACCAAACACAGTCACTTGTATTTATTATAAATTTGGATATGCAACATGTCCTCATCAAGTGTGAGTAATTTTATTCTTTTTTGGGGACCAAATATATTGGTATTGGAATTTTTTTATTGGTAGAAGATAGTGATAGAAAACAGTGGGACAAACTTTTTTTTACGTGTTATTTATATATCATGCCTCTTTATAATTTTAAGTTTAATAAAATGACTGTTTTAGATTTCTTATTCGTAAAAGATAGATCTCTTACGTGTAAAAGTAAATCTTTCGTGTATAAAAAAAAAAGTAGAGTTATAAAACTAAAAATAAGTTTGTAAAGAACCAAGAAATCAACTGCATTGCACTTATTAAATTGTCTGAATCATCGTCTAATAGTTTAAAGTTTTAACATTACTGATTCTAGATCTGCAACACCTAAAAACAACAGTGGTCACTGGACTAATTTAAATGACACTTTTTTTATTAGTCTGTTCCAAAAAGAATGACAAATTTTTATAATTGAAAATAATTCAACTTTAAACTTTTTATTTTACCAATTTTATCTTTAACCAGAAAATTTTATAACCACACAAATGTCATGGTCCCATAGACCTTTTACCCATTAAGCTTTTAAGATCACAAGTTTCAAAAATTTTCGTTTTCTCTTAAACTCCGTGCCGAATCAAACTATCTCATCTAAATTGAAACGGAGAAAGTATTAACACACAAACTTGTGTACGTCCAGACTAATGATACGAGGCTTCCAAAATAGGAAAGGATTTTAGTAAAATTGATCATTAATATTCATTATGACTGCAATGAGAAGAAAAATCATTAGCTCCTTATTTACTACGAATCTGTACAATAGAATTTATAAGGTATTCAACAAGCTCTGAAATATATTTTAGAATGACCTTACAAGAATTTAGAAATCCAACGTTTCTAACTGATTCTTGAATGGAATGATTTTAACTTTTGATTTATCGAAACTGAAAAAAAATAGTTTTGAAGTTGAAATTGAAGTAGAGTACTTTTTGGAAGTATTATGTTTAATTTGAACTTGAGTTTTACTAAGTTGAAAGTTTTGTGTGCGAAAATTATTATATTTACCTTTAAAATATTTGTAAGTTGAAATTAAAATAATAAGGGGTCGTTTGGTATGAGGTATAAGAAGGTATAAGGGTGGTATAAAAATTTAATACCACCTTAATACTCTGTTAGGTTAGCAACCAGGTATAAGTTATCCCGGTGTTAATTTTAACACTGGGATAACTTATACCTTATAGAAGGTGGGATAATTAGCACAGGTATAACTTATACCTTTTTCTTAAAAATTATGCAATTGTCATTCTTAATACAACATACTAAACAATGAATAAACAACAATCCCTGCATAACTAATTCCAGCATAACTTATCCCAATATAATCTATACCGGCATAACTTATAAATCATATTCCAACCAAACGACCCCTAAAGGACTCTGGAATTGTACGGCCACATTCATCTCTAATCTCTTACCCCTAACGTGGCAACTTCACATTCGCTTCAACCACCAACTAGTGGATCACTCCACTTCACATGCCAAGACCTAGATAACGCTTTTGGGCCCCACATTTAGCTTACGTGTTATCATCCACCTCAGATAAACTCATACACAAAAATGCCACGTAATACCAAAAAGTTAGTGTCCCTTTTGTCTTTCTTTGCTTTAGAGATAGCGAGAGAGAGAAAAGTAGATAACAAAGAATCAATCGTCAAGTATTATATGTGGAGTTATTCGTGCTTTATCTTTAATCAGATATTTTTATTTGAGCCATGACATGTTGTCGTGTAATCAGAGACGGATTTACGTGGAGGGGTTGGGGTACATGCACCATACTCCTCCTCCCTAGGCTATGTATAAAATATTATAATATTTTTAGTTATGCGATTAAATATATTTGTGGCCACCCATGTTCAAGTGATTGGTTTATTGCATTGGTGACTGACTGCCCCTCTTATCTCCTTTTTGACCCCAAAGTCAGGGGTTCGATCCCCCATATAATTTTTTTTGATAATTTCTTTTATAATTAATCACAGTAAATAAATTTCCAATTTTCCACACCCTTTTCAATTAACCACATATCCCTATGCCCTTTCTTTCTTTTCAACTAACAAACATACATTTTTATTTACTTCTTTAAAAAAAAAATCCCTTTTGCCTATGTCTTCTTTTGCCTATGTCTTTTTTATTTTCTTCTTTTAATCATTCTTTTGAGTCAAAACTTTGAAATTCCTAAAAATAAAGTACTCATGACTCGTCTCTCTCGGCTTTGAGGTTCTTAGTGGATTCAAAGCAGGAAAACCCCTGCTCAATATTAAGCGGCGCTTTAAAAAAAAATTTGAATGATTGTTTAGTTTGCTATGCAGAGCGTGAGATATTTAAAATTATAAGTAACGATGTTATTTGACCGTTTTCAATAAAAACTCGTCGAAGACAATTGTAAAGTGAATGATATTTTTTGCGAATATAGTTCGCTCGTCAACTTGTTGCCATCATAAAAATTTATATAATGGAACCAAACATCTATCTTAAAGATAATAGTACACCCATTGTATTAAAATCCTGGATACGCCTCTGGTCGTGTTTGTTAGAGAATACTTTATTTCTTAATATAGATTTTTTCAGCGCGAATTTAAATTTATTCGGGCTCTAATACAGATACTGAAGAGCGACTGAGAAAAAAAAAAAGAAGATAACAAGCACATATAATGACAAGTACATCAAGAGAAGTTCAAAGGCAGTGCTGATCATGAATGATAAGATACATATTCCTGTGACTCTCCTCCATATACCCCCTTACCCTCAATCCTTTTTCTCTCTCTCTTTCATAAATTCACTTAAATAATTAAGTTTCATAGTTTTAGCTGATTCAAGAAAGTTGACTTCTTCCCAACAATCACAGGTTCATTACTTAATTCAAACTCTTTCTGTAGTTATAGTTTTGTTTTTCCTAATGTGATTAGTAGAAATTTAATCAGGTGTCTTGGCAATAATTGTGTTAGAAAATTGCATTGAAGAAACTATTGATGTTGCTACTAATTAGTGGTTTGGTTAATCAATACTTGAATTCTGTTCTTGCTTTTGATGCTTTACTGCTTCTTGTAATTTTCATTGATGAGTTCTTGAGATCATTTGAATAACTTACTGTAGTCTATAATACTTTAACTATCTATAAAGAAATTTCTGTTGTGCTTTATCAAAGTGTAGGGAGTTCGGTACACAAGGCATCCCGCATTCACGGGACTGCATCCCAAGGGGTGTGTAGACATCCTATCCTAATGCAAGTATTAGTGGCTGCTTCGACGGCTCGAACCCGTGACCTATAGGTCATACCAAGACAACTTTACGTTGCTCCAAGGCTCCCCTTCATGCTTTATGAAGGTGTGAATTGTTTAATTATGCATAATGTATGTTCCGCTACCAGATTCTGGCCAAGGGAATTAGGTATAAGTTTCTAGGAGTTTGGTATAAATAGATATTAGGGATTTCCATTCAAACCGAGTATTTTAGTTGATAAGAACAGATAACTAATCCAATATTTAGCTTATGTTCTTGTCCTGATTTCTTCCTGCAAATGTCATTTGAGTTCTGCAATTACATGATAAAAGATCTTGCACAAAAATATCTTACTTGAAACTGAGGCTTAGATGTGCAGAGCAACTATCTCGAGGGTCGTTCTGATTTGTGAACATGGAAATGGAGAAAACATGTGAATTTTGTATGTTATTGAAGCCAGTGGTGTATTGTGAGTCTGATGCAGCACACCTTTGCCTTTCCTGTGATGCTAAAGTTCATTCAGCCAATGCCCTTTCTAGTCGGCATCTTCGCACCCTTGTCTGCGAGCCATGTGGATACAACCTGGCTTATATTCAATGTTCGGATCATCAAATGTTCATGTGTCGTGACTGTGACCGCCGCCATCATGACCTCTCTTCTCAGCACCAGAGAAAAGTGATCACTAGTTATATGGGGTGTCCTTCTGCTAAGGATTTGGCAGCATTGTGGGGTTTCGGCTTGAATGATTTGGAAAACACTACTCCACCAGATAAGTTCATCTCAACATCAAATGGAACAGTAAATGGAGCCAAGGTCAATCCAAAAATTGTCAAACGGTCTCACTCATCAGCTGGCAGCTCTTCCTTAGCTTCTGAACTTGAATTAACAAGTCCCGTTGTCTCTGCAGAATCAGTAGTGGGATCAAGTAATAACCACAATAAGGTAGAAATCAGTAACTAAATACCTATTTGTTATGCAGCTTTTTCCTGAAATCCTGAATTGACATGTTGGAGACTTTATCATTTTTTCCATATTTTAACTATAATTTCTGATAGTAAGTTGATGGTTTCTGGCGAAGTGATCCGAGGGTTGGTTTTAAATACTAGTATCTCTACATGTTGGGGTTGAATTAAGCATGACATTAGCATACTAAATTAACTATGTCTTTACATCTTGGCTTGCTCATAAATATTGTTGAGATAGATTATCGTAAGTAGGGATATGTATATACGTATGAGGATGAATGCAATTTGGCTTTCTCTAGCTTTCTCCTTTAAGGGATAAATCCGTGTATATGACTGTAGATCATAGCAATAAGTCACCTATGGCCTTCGTACCACTATAATCACTTGCTTTATTTCTTTAGGCGTTATGCTTGCATAAACGGGGGGAGAGCACTTCTTTCATTCTACAACAGATTCTTGACTTGGAAAGACTTCAGCTGACAGAGGGAAGTAACAATTTAACTAGTGGAGAAAGTCAAAATAATGTTTCTTCATTCAAGCATGGTTTTTCGTGGAATATGCATAGCAAATTTGATCGCTTGCAGAGTTCACTTGATCTTGGCCCTGAACTTCAGGATTGGGGCAGTACTCGTGAAATTCCAGTTGCTGAATCTTTTCCATTACTGTTGCCAGATGGAGATTCATTTTGGGAATGTAAAAGTCCAGTTCAGAGTAGTCAGGTTTGCTGCTACTCTTTGTCATTCGCTCCTATATCCCACTTCACACATTTGAGGTTTTATTTCTATGTTCCATGAAACGGCCCATTGCTGATAGCAAACTCCGCCCTCACCCCAAATCGGAAAAGTAACATGAATATCTAAATGCTACTTGTTGTTGGGATGGAGGGAAAAGAAACATTTTCTTGCCATGAAAGAATTGCCGGATCCCGGATAATTTGTTTTGATTAGATGCAATCCTTAGAATTGGGCCTATACTAAAGATAATGTTTTCTCTGGAATAAACTGTAGCCTAAAGTCGTCAAAGTTGAAAGAAACAAGAATGCATACGCAAATATCAAAGATTTAGTTGGTTCCCACAATAGGTGATTTGTTCACCCTTCTGATCATGGAAACGACAACACTAAAGTTAAATCTTATTTCTGTTTCAAGCTGAAGTTTTCATTTTCTGCTGTATCCTGGAATGTTAAGTCCTATCTCGTATAGTTGCCAGCCTAGTTTTTGCTGCATGATGCATGTCTTCTTAACTTCTTTCTTGCTTCTTAAAGTATGTTTTCTGTGTATTTAGTTCATGTTAGAAATTTGATATATAATGAACTCTACACTCACATTTTTCATTAATCAATTCATGTTGGCGATTTGTCTGAAGGGGTGTAACGAACACCGAGAGCCACATCTTTCATTTAGGGGACAGTGTCCACAAACCAGCTAAAGCATAAGACTTCTCATTAATTAATAATCCAACTTGCTTCATAAGCAGGAATTATTTTTCACAATGTCTAGGCCAAAAAACTAGTTTAACTTAAACTTGGAAATTCGAAGAAGCAAGTCCATATGTTTCAGTTGCTGCTGTACTGGCAAAATACTTTATCTTACAGAGCACAATTAGCTACAAAGAGTTTATATGTTCTGTTAAAAGCTTTACCTACAGTCGCTAACGCCTAATATTAAGAAACATACGCAGAAATCTAGTATGATAAATAAACTTTCTTTTTGTAGCGCCATGTACTGATTTCAATCTTGGCATTGATGTGAGGTGATGACTCTAGAATGAAAGTGTTAGCGAGGTCAAACCACTATTTGTCTGTTTCTTCTCCTCTTCCTGTTATGATTTTCCGCGCTATTTGTCTGTTCCTTCACCCCTTTCCTTATGATTGTTAGACATGCGCGCTCTTATGGGCATCTAAATGCGGATACGGTGTTCAGGGATAATGACTTTTCTCTTCTCTTCTCCCTTATGATTATTATACATGCAATTTGATGAGGGATTAGAACCATAAATGCAAATATATATATATATATATATATATATATATATATATATATATATATATATATATATATATATATATATATATATATATATATATATATATATATATATTTGGTTAAAGAGTTTATTCATAATGTACTACAGTACTAGCTTGATCATTTTACGAACTCTGCAGCTTTGGCCTCAAAATCTGCAAGACCTAGGACCTTATGCTGAAGAAGGATGTTTTGACAATTCCGACATGCCTGATGTTGATTTGACCTTCCAAAATTTTGAAGAACTCTTTGGCGAGGAGCAAGATCTGAACAACACATTGCTTAATGAGGAAGATATGACATCCTCATCTATGGAGAATTATTCTTCGATGGATAGATCTTATCATAGCTACGTCAAGAAGGTTGATGTCTGCATTATTTTGTCTTAATTTACAGTTATCTCTAGTATGATTTGTTCTCACTCGACAAAACATCTAGTTTTCTTGTAAATCATTCACAAGGTACTCAAATGTCTCTTTTGAATCTAATTATGTTATTAGAGGTTTTTCTACTGATGACAGGACATATCAACAGCTTCATCAATCTGCAAAAGACAGCCAACTCACTTCGGCCAAAACCATATTACCTCTGATGAACACATTCCCACAATCAAGGATTGTCCTCCACCAATTCGAACAAACTTTTCATCGTTGTCCTTCTCAGCATCAAGGCTGAGCAGTGAAAGCAGTGGTAATGAGTATGTGGATTCACCTGCTTCCAACGAGCAGGAGGTTTCACAGTTGGACAGTAAAGAGAATCTCAATTAGCAATGCACAAAGAAAAGAAGAAGGCTCGGCTGTAAGTACAAGTCTCTTTCTTGATGTTAAATATGTCCATATGCTGTTTCGTAGCTCGTTACTGCATGTTTTAGTTTTGTATTCAGGTTTGAGAAACAAGGTCGGAATACACCTCGAAAAGCCAGGACTAATTTAAAAAAGCATCCAATAAAAGGGAGGATCCTAAAGGTGGACAGATATGAATCTGATGCAGTTAGTATGTCTCGAAGCTTTTAAAATTGCCCTGGTTTAATGTGTGCGACTCGTGTACATACCATCAAGCATCGCTCAGTAACTCAAGACATATGAACATCTGTTGTATGTCCGCTCCTGCTAATTGTTACCTCAGTGTAAAGCCTAATTGTTTCTTCTAGTTTGACGAGAATGCATATAATTTACCATGGTTAAATGATTGAAGCTCACATGCAAGACACATGTCATGTATCTATTGGTTTGGCGTAAACACCTGGTGCGGGTAAGTTTTTACCCTCAAGCAAACTTCTTGGAGAATCATAGATTAAAACTGTTTACTTCTAATATTTCTGCACATTATTACACATTCTTATAGGAATTGACATGGCATACTAAAGACCAGTAAATACTAGAGTACTATGGGATATGTACATGCATATAGCCTACATCTCAAAAGTCTTTCTTTATTATTAAACACCATACCTAATTAAAAATTAATATACACCAAATCAAGATTATATTTAAGATTTCTCATTATTCAAGTATCGTGGTATAAAACGAAATGGAATTTCTAATTGGCTAATCCTTAGATTTCTAATTAGCTAATCCTTAAACTTTTTTGGTGTAAGGAATAGAAAAACTTGATTTCCGTATAAAAATCATACATTGTCTTGTTTCCTGTATATTACTCTATATTAGTAGTACAACATTTGTATTCTATTGTACAACGTTGTATTAAAACTATACGTAATCTTTGGACAACTAAAATTAATGGTCACATTTTCATATTATTTGTTGTGTGGCATAACAGAGTTCAAAGGGTAAAAACTAATTCACACGTAGGGATTATTTCAAACCAATAAAGCATGATACATATTTGCATATAACCTTTCACTTAATCATGATTAATGAATATGTGATTTTACTTCATTAAATCACTCAATCGTAGTAAGTTAGTATTGTAAACACCATGTATCGATAAGTGTGGAAAAATAAATTTTTGAGCCCAGTACACACATAAAAAATGCTAGCTAAGAAGTTGGCTCATTAGGTAGTCCAGGGGCAGATACACCTTGCAGCAAGCGGTATCACTATATATATATATATATATATATATATATATATATATATATATATATATATATATATATATATATATATATATATATATATATATATATATATTTGTGTGTGTGTGAGAGAAAAATGACACCGCGTTTCAATATAGTAATTCATTTAACCATTAATTTTCCCAAATTTTGACACCGCTTACCAAAAATTCTGCATACGCCCTCGAGGTAGTCTAACTCTAAACCCTAATAAAAGCTTAGATAAACATTATCGTATGTATTAAAAAGATATGCTTTTCATAATATCATAAACAACTAGGTTTTGGTAGCTGGGTTTATTCTCTATATTAAAGATGGATTTTTAGGCTGTGAAAAAAGGAAGTTTACCTGTTTACCTCGAAAATACGAGTAACAATTAAATTTGATTTGTGGTTTTAAAGATACGTGATTTAGTTCAATACCAATTAATAATCAGGAAGTATGAAGTAGAAATGAAAGAGAAAAGTGAATCAAACCAATGTTACTCAACAGCAGTGACCTCGAGCCCGGGGACCTCGAGGTAGACTTAGTATAATAAGAACAATTAAATAGTAAAAGTAAAGTGAGAACAATAAAGCTAAAGGACAATGCTGATGAACAATAAGCGAAAAAGGTAGAGAGTATATTCTTTGCTCAGTGATAAGATGGTCTTACAAATGATTGGGATCCCCTTTTTATAATAGGAGAACCCTAAATAAGAAATATTTCTATTTACAGTGGGGAATATTCTTGATACAGCTGTCTAACCGCTTAGTACGGAATTGTACAACCTTATTCCGGGATTTGCGCCATGATTTTGGGGACGTGACACGAATCTAGCTCGTCTTCGTACAGATCCACAACGGTACTATTCCGGGGTCGAGCATACTTGGCCCTGGTACTCCTCGCGCTCCCATCTCCGAGTATCGCACTCTGCCTTCGAGTTCAGGTCTGGTCAGCCGGTCTCGAACTCGACCGCGCCCGGACTCGGGCCTATAAATCGGAGGCATACGATTTTGACCGTATACAGATAGTCCCGCGTTTCTTAGAGTAAGATGATAAGAAAAGATTTGATCCTCGTTTATCCAAAGTCTTTAATAATGACGTCCTTCACGTGACACAGGCGTTCGAAGTGACTGAAATGTCCAGTCTGTCCATTTCCCCAAAACATTGAATGCACACCAGAATGGGTCGGCCACTAGCGTCGTCGAACCGTAGTTGCCCTCCTATAAATATGAGGCTATTCCTTTGAGTAAAGAACTTTGCCCTTTCTTTACATCTTTCTCTTCCTCATCTCTTTCTCTTAATCATCTGTTTTCACCGCCTTTTAAGCGCCGAAAAACGTCAAGCTCTTGTAAAAAAAAACACCACATTCTGATACAACCTGTATTCTTTAGCTTAAAGTCATGGCTAGAACGTCCAAAACGGTCCCCAAAAAGGATAAAGCGTCGTCTTCTTCTGCCTCCCGGTCGGCCAAATCGGTGGTGCCGCCAACTCTTGAGGAGATCACCCCCGGCCCTTGTGTGATTAAGAAGGACTTTAGCATTGAAAATCCCCCCGGTGTCCCAGGCCGATGCGAACATGCATCTCGATATCTTAGTTTGATATCGGAGAAGCATCTTGAAGATGTGAGGAAGGACTGCGGCTGGGGAGATGTGGTCGTGGTTCAGATCCTAAGCCCCGGGGAAAGCATTACTTCCCACGTGGAGGGGTTTCTAAGTGTTTACACTTACCCCTTCACGCTGGGTCCCCTCGATCCAGTGGTGATTTACTTATGCAAAATATACGAAGTCACTCTCGGCCAGGTTCACCCCTCTTTTTTGGCGTATGGTGATCATGATGCGCTGCTTTTCTGAAAAGGCCGAGGGGTTGGAATTTACCCTCAGCCACCTGATTCGATGTATCGGCCCCAGTTATTTCGAGGGCTTATCAAGCTGCAACGTCGAACAACGAATGTCCTATTTGCCAGCACTGACGAAACCAAAGATCGAGGTTGGATGAGCCGGTTCGTCAGAGTAAGAACTTTAAATGTCATCCCCAGGGATAAAATGCCTTTCCCGGAGAGGTGGAACTTTAATCGTAAGTGAAGTTCCTTTTCTCGGAATCTATTCATACTTTGGTTTCACATTTCGTAATGCCTTTACCTTTTTTTTGGCAGCCACTGCCTGCGCATCCTACGCGGTGCCGAACCTCGAGGATTGGGTCCGAAAGTTAGCTGCCACCTCTCCCTACGATGAGCGCAAGTGGCGTGAATTATCGAAGGGCTAGTGGGAGGCCAAGAATCACGGTAAGTGCTTTTCCCGAGTTTCAAATACTTCTCATATATTGGTGGCATCAACTTATTCACGTTTACTTATGCAGGCCTCGGAGATGCATCCGAGATGAGGCCGGCCCCACCCGGGGAAGGGACCAAGTCTTCAGTCCCGAAGTCTGAGAAAGACAACACAAGAAAAAGTGTTTCGAAGCCTGAAGACCCCCAAGATAAGAAAACCCCTGCTCGAAGGCTGCGGAAGAGGTTTGCTAAAACGGGCGCAGATTCGGCCCACTGTTCCCCGGATGACGAAGAAAATGACAATGAAGAGTCGGTGCTGGTGCCTCGAGTCAGGAAACCCATCGAGGCCGCCAAGCCCTCCGAATTAGAGACCTCATCTTGTGGTGAGGGAACCCCAAAGAAAGATGCGGGCAAGGCCCCCGTGTCCCCGGAGGTTGAGATCGTTCCTCCGCCTTCAACAAATATACCGGAGGGGGCAAATGCGGAGACCTCCGAAGCTAACGAGAGCGCCCCGATCCGAACAAGGTCCTTGAAAGAAGATCCCTTTCAGGGCTGCTTTTTAGGGGTCGATGATACCGCCGACCTTAACGACGCATCCAACTTCTTCGAAGAGGCCCAGCATCTCCTTTCTCGAGTAAACACTTACTTTCATTTTCGTGCTCTTCTCTTTCTTTCTTTTCCTTCGACTGATATATCTTCATTTAATGTATAGGCCATTGTAAAGTGTCACAACCCCAACCCCGGTCGTGATGGCGCCCAACACACTGCTAGGGAAGCACGACCATTTAGACAACCTTAACCAATTAATCACAGTGCATGACTAAATTAACATAGCTGAATTACTAAATCAAATGCTGAAATCCTGAAATAGATTCAAACATACGGAAAACCCAAAATATAAAATGACTACACAGCCCGTAGAATCCGATGTCACAAGTCTGAGCCTCTAATACATGAGTATCAACCTACTACATATCGTCCTCTAGAAATGCGGAAAAAAAAAGATAGAAGGAAGATCAGGACTGCGAACGTCAAATGCAGCTACCTTGAAACTCCCAAATGTGATGCTAGGCAGAGAAGCCCTCACTCAGCCTCAGTAGTACCTGGATCTGTACGCAAGGTGCAGGGAGTAATGTGAGTACTCCGACCCAGTGAGTAATAAACATAAATAAAGACTGAGAATAAGAAATCCTGAATAGGCACAAAGTAATTCTATAAATACAACAACTTGAACCCAGTAGCATAAAATCAGTAAAACAGTGAAAACAATTATAGAAATATCACAGCAGATAAAGGAATAAATGACAATTAAGAATATGCAATGCAACACATAGACCGGTACTCTCAAGTACCCGCTGCGGCGTGCAGCCCGCTCCATTTGTTTATCGTCGACAGCGCTCACTGGGGGTGTGCAGACTCCGGGAGGGGCCCCTTACGGCCCAAGCGCAATAATAAGCCATATCGTGGCATCAACTAGGCCCTCAGCCTCATATCAATATCAATATCATACCGCTGCGGCGTGCAGCCCGATCCCATACTCAGTCCAAAATCACATAAGTCTCTCGGGCACATTAATATAGAAATATTTAGCCCAAACTTCATTTAAAAATATTAATTAAGTTTCTAGTTTGAGAAAAAGTGGCTGAGTTTGCAAAACAGTATAAATACTAGGACTGAGTTCAATTATCTGTAAATATGGTAAGAAACCAGTAAAAAACAATCCCTGAAGGATTCAAGCAGTTGGCACGAAGCCCAATTATGATAATTAATCCATTTTTATAAGGATATCTACTAAGCTTCAATCAATTAGGTAGTAATTTTATTAAGCGGGACGGACCAAGTCAGCATCCCCGACGGTGCTCTACCCCACACCCGTTAACCGGCGTGCAAGTCACCTCAACATAGCACTACAATGTGCAAATTCGGGATTTCAAATCCTCAGATCAGCATTTACATCTATTACTCACCTCAAGCCGGCCAAAATC